TTAGTAGAATAAAAAGAAACCAAAATTCTTTTAAAAAAACATTTGTCAACCAAAAAGTTTGTTCCAAAAAAGTAAAATTTTAAGGGATAGTGAATATCCTGAAATGGAAAAAGCAGATGGTTTACGAAGCAAAGGCAGCAGCATGTCCCAATTTTTATTGATATATTGAAAGTAAAGGCACGTGAATTACATGAATGTATTAAAGAAAGCCGGGCACTTCCTTTAAGCCAGCAATGGATGGTACTTAAATTTTGACTGATTTGTACACTACGTTTGTTGGGTAATTGTACAGCCACTCTAATACCCATGGACAAAAATATTATGAAGTGGATAAAGTTATTCTATAAGAAGAGACTGTTGCAATATATTATTGCAGACAATACTAAAATCATTTAATTTACATTATGCTATTTTTCTTTTAACTAATGCATGGAAAAAAGTTCCATCACATGTTACTCGAAAAGCTTTTTAAACCTTAAAATTAAATAACGGTCAGTGAACTGATCCCTCGGGGGAGGCTGTAACCCCTGCAGGGCGCGTCGCAATCGTAGCAAAAGCCTTCCAGTAATGGGTGGTAGAAGGGAAATGAAACATCTCCCGCGGACCAAACAGCCAGGAGATGGTAAACTTCGTAATAAACCATCACTGTAAGCTTTCCGAAAGTAGTATCGATAAAAGGTTATAGATGGTGCTGGGGAATGGCAGCTGGTTTCTCAGTATCATGTTTAGGCAGAGATTGAGACAACTGGTACCGTTATACATGAATTAGCAGATATTGCAGTGGTATCCATATAAACGGTACGTGAACAACGGTGGAAGGCAACGGAAAATCACCACACGAATCAAATTATCTAACATGGCTGAGAATCAAAACAACGGCCCCGAGTACGGGCGCCCCGTTAATGGGGCAGAGGTGCAGAGAATCTGCCGTTCAGCTTAGATGAGATTCAGTAATAATAAGTCCTATAAAATTGGCAATTGGAATGTCAGGAGTATGTTCGAAAGCGGTAAAATTAATAATACAATACAAGAAATGCACAAACATGAAATCGATAGTTTGGGAGTAAATGAAATGAGATGGCCAGACCACGGAAGCTGTACTATAGACAATTATGATGTATTCTACAGTGGCGATAATGGAAGAAGAAACAAACATGGTGTTGTAGTAATTATAGCAAAATAACTCAAAAATATGGTAACAAATGTCGTGTATCATTTCGCTCGTATAATAATGGTGCAAATGAAGGAGTGGCCAGTTTACAACCCGATGACATGTTCATTGAAGAAATATCTATGACAATTAAAAACACAATGATGGACGTAGCAAATAATGAAGTGGGCGTGGTCAGATCTAGAAGGAAAGAAATTTAGATGAAATCTTCTAAGTGTAAGAAGTCAGTATAAAAATAAAGATACTCGCAAATATAAGGATATACCCAAATCTATACGTATAAAGCAAAAGAAGAGTTTCATAAAAAGGAATGTGAGGAGATATAGGGGTATCAAAGGAGATACGATGTATTTAACTTACACAAGAAAATTTAGAAATATGACAACATCTAATAGAAGAAAGAGAAGCACACTTATGAATAACAGAAAAAGACGAAACACTTCGCATGAGGAAAAACTATATCCAAAATCTATATGCGAGCAACCGATCATCTGTGACCTATAACCTTGGATGAACTTCAAAAAGCAATTGATGGTGTAAAAATAGGAAAAACGGTAGGTTTTGACCAAATCCCAACAGAATTGGTGAAGTTATTCAAAGATAATGAGGTACGTAATTTAACAAGATTTTTTAATAAAATTTATAATACGGGCCAGATACCAAACGATTGGCTTCAATCTACGTTTATTACGATTCCAAAGAAAGCTACACCAAAAACATGTGCAGATTTTAGAACAGTCAACTTAATGAGTCATGTGTTAAAGATATCCCTTCGAATTATACATAATATAATTTATTCAAAACTCGAGGAACAAATGAGTGATACTCAGTTTGGTTTTCGCAAAGGGTTTGGTACTAGAGAAGCCTTGTATGGAATACCAGTCCTAATAGAATGTTGTCGTGACTTTAACAGCTTACTTATACTAGAAGCAGTACGCAAATATTTGCATTAATAGTTACTTCACGCAAGAAGTAGAAATAAAGCGCGGGGTTCACCAAGGGTGCATTGTGTCACGATTACTGTTCAATATATACTTGGAGACTATTTTCAAAGAAGCACTACACGATGCGACAGATGGAATTATGGTTAATGGGGCACTTATAAACAATTTGAGGTACGCCGATAATATAGTGCTTATTGCCGACTCAATAGAGGGCTTGGCTTACAGAACCTTTTAGACGCTGTTGCATTAAAGTGAGACAATACAGCTTAAAATTAAATTGCAGTAAAACCCAATATATGGTGGTAAACAAACGATCCAATTCGGGAGAAAGATTAACAGTATTTGGTTCAGTCATAAAAAAACCGATAAGTTCAACTACTTGGGATGCCAGCTTAATGAGTAATGGGATAATAGTAAAGAAATACGTGTCCGAATTGAAAAAACAAGGTCTTCTTTTATCAAGTCTCTTTTATCAAGTCAGTCTGTTGCATTGATGAATAAACTCGAGGCTTTTGAAATGTAGTGCTATCGACATAGGCTGAAAATAAGCTGGACAGAAAAAATTACAAATACAGTGGTACTTCGGCGTGTCAACAAAGAGACAGAAATATTAGAAAGAGTAAAACGCCGTTAATTAGCGTTTTTTTTTGTGGTCATATTCTGACGCATTCGAAAAAGTATGGACTACTAAAATTAATCATTGAAGGCAGACGTGGCCCTGGAAGACGAAAAATATAATGGCTGAAAAATTTACGTCAATGATTTAATAAAAGTACAAGATCACTTTTTCGAGAGGCTGTAGATAAAGTCAAAATAGCAATCATGTTACCCAACGTTCAAACCGGAGAAGGAACCTAGAAGAAGAAGTTAACTGATAACGACAACATACCGTTGCATCAAATAAAAGCTAATATTATCGAAAAGCAACATCATAATGATCATTTAAAAAATTTACTTCATGAAATTATTACAGATCGAAGAGCAACATCATAATGATCACTTAAAAAATTTACTTCATGAAATTATTCCAGATGTTATTTCTCAATAGAAAATAAATAAATGGGTCACCGAATATTCTATGTAAAATGTGTCTATTGCTGAACAACTTGACACTGATTCACACTCGAAAACTGAGGACAGTATAATTATACCCAAAATCAAAATTGACGTGGCAATAAATGCACTTAACATATGCATACAATGGGCTGAGGAAAATTCAATACCTCTACAAAAGTTTTAATACTTAAAGATCTAAAAAATGAGGCAATTACAAAGAATCTTATTTGCAATAAAAAGCAAGCTGAAAAAACAAGTTGTTATCATAAAGTATAATTATAAATAAAGTATATTACTTTATATATAAAGTAATTATAAATAAAGTATATTACTTTATATATTAAGTAATTATAAATAAAGTATATTACTTTATATATAAAGTAATAATAAATAAACTATATTACTTTATATATAAAGTAAATATAAACAAAGTATAATCGATTATTGCAACAAACTCAATTATTGCAACACCCTCGAATTCTATTAGTTGCAATTTTTGAGGTCATACTGTGTAATCGAAAGAAGTAGATACATAAAAGTAAGCAAATCTTAAACTACCTAGAATAAATTTTGATTCCCCTTATAAAAAGTCAATATATAATTAAAATTTTTATATTCAATTTTAATATTTATTACTAATTTTATTTCTTCATTTTAAGCTTAAATGTATTACTATTTGATTAGTGGAGAAATTATAATAATTAAAACAGTAAAAAGTCAAAGCTGTGAATGTTAAAAAATGTCTGTCTACAAAACATTAGAAATCATCGTAATTTGTTGTTTATTAAAAAAGGCCTATTTTGTTTAGTGTGTTGAATAAATTTTTCTTTTTATGACCTTGATAACTCGTATAGATATTGAATTGACCAGATTTGTAATTTTATCTCTGCTAGTTTTCCTTTTCCCATTCCTCGAATGCAACGTTCTTTAGCATTTATTTGGGGTCATATAATGTTGACGTATAATATAACCTCTCCGACGCTCCAATAAATCTTATATATGTTCTATTTGATTCAAATCTGGCGATTGTGGACATTATAAAACAATCAAAGCTTGACTTCTGCCGTGTGGCTGGCTTCGTTCGTTATATTGTTGATACAAGTATTTGTAGCTGCAACTAGTTGGCTCTGCTTTGTTAGTAAAACTATTTTTGTTAATTGACGGCTTAAGAAATTCCATTTTTTTCCACTCCATTACTCTACCAGTTCCGTGTTTTTTCTTTGGATAAAACTTTTTGTTGAAGGCAATACGCGGTTGTCGTCAAATAATGTTTCGACCTTTGATGCTAAAGAAACAAAACTTACTTTCATCTGAAAAACTTTTTTCAGATCAGAAAAAATGACGGATATTTTTCTGTCATTCACAGCATTGATTTTTCCACTAAACAATTAGTAATAAGTTCTAATTTAAAATGAGCATGAGTAATAAAAGTAAAAAATAAAAATAAAAATAAAATAAAAGTAAAAAAAAAAGTAAAGAAAAAAAAATAAAAGTAAAATAAAAGTAAAAAAAAAAATAAAAGTAAAAAAAAAATTAAAGTAAAAAAAAAATATAAGTAATAAAAAATTAAAGTAAAATAAAAATAAAAAATTAAAGTAAAATAAAAATAAAATATAAAAGTAAAAAAAAATAATAAAAGTAAAAACAAAATAAAAGTAAAAAAGGAATAAAAGTAAAAAAAAAAATAAAAGTGAAAAAAAAAAATAAAAGTGAAAATAAAAAATAAAATTAAATAAAAAAAATGATTCATATAATGTTTTTATATAAGCACAAAGTATTTCTGCTAAGTATTTATATTTTACTGTATTAATAACACAAATAACACATACCATTTTTATCGCACTGTGTACTATTATTTTGAGGTTGGTCTCTTTTATTCGCAAACCATTGTGTAAACCGTGAATTTCCAAAGTCGTCAAAGTTTTTATGTTGATCGTTACTCTAGAAAGAAGTAATAATAATTACTCAAATACAATTTTTTCAGACTAATTATTTAGATTTATTTTTAGCTTAAAGATAATTAGTATACAACCAACCATTATTGTATGTTCCAGGGAATCTATACTCAAAAAATTCTCAAAATTAAATATAGCTTTTAAAGAATCGTTGCTATTGTAATTGTTAATATCTGTACTTTTCGAAAAGTTATTAGTAGATTTATTTTTTGCTTCGTTTTTTTTTGGATGTTGTATTTTTTCAAAAATGGTCTTGCTAGGTTTATTATTTATAACGAAATTATTTTCATTTAATATATTCTTTTTAGTGTGCTGGATGTCTGATATATTCCGTTCCAAGCATCTCAAATTTTTATCGTCATTTTCTTCTAATTCTTTATCTTCAATATAAGAATTAAGACCATCATCGTCTGGATCGGTAGCTTCACTTTTATTTGCATTGTTAAAGATTCCTGTATCATCATCAATTTCTTCAAAACCACGAAGTTCTATTGTATCTAATTTCGATGTAGGACCTTCACTGAACCATTCAGGTTCTGTTTTGCGCTCATTGAAATGATTACGTCGATTACGTCCGGGTATAAGTTGGCGATTTGATGTATAATCCAATTTAATACTTTCGTTTGAAGCCATATATCTAGTGTTGCCTGCTTTTAAAATATCATTTTTAAAGCTTTCAATTTTTTCACCCGATTCAATTAAGTTTCGATCATAGGCACGTCTTTCTATGCGTTCATTATAGCGTAATATATTGCGTTTTTGATTTAATTGATTATTTGATAACGAAATTTCTTTATTCATTACTGGAATAGTTCTATCCTTATCTTGTCCTTTATAGTCCCAACTTATATCACGTGATAACAAACGTCCACTTCCAATACGCCTTTCTTGATTTCCATTGTTTGGCGTTTTCGAAGGTGTAGTTGATAATAAAGATAAGGACGGCGAAGCCTCTTGTTCGCTACATTGATCAACGTCATTCTCAGCTAAAAATATATTTTATATTAGTTTCTGCACTGAAATTATTACATATGAATTTCATTGCGTACATACCATTTGATTTTTTTTTGGGTGATATGTTTGATATATCAGGTCTTTGATGATTTTCAAATGTACGTTCCTTGATTACTTGGCGTTTAATATAATTAGGATCTTTAGATTCATTTATGCATTCTGATCGAGGATTAGACATATAATTAGGAGTAGGACAATTCGCAATAATGCGACGTTTAGCAAATGCTGGCATTAAATGAGCGGAGGAAATACTACGATGATCTATATAAGTCTTCTGATTATTGTGAAATCCGGTATTTGTTGGCAAATATGTTGATAATTGTGAGGAATTGTTATTGTTACTGGCATTTGAACGAAAACTCCTATCATTTACAAAATTAATTATAGATGACTGATTTGCACTTTCATTCGTTACATCGTTTTGCAAAAAAGTAGTTTTCCAAAGTCCTAACATTTGCAGCTCATATCGAAGCGAACACTCTGGTCTTTTCTGTGAACGGGAGTCATTTCGCAAAAGATATAAAGAGGAACGGGTATAACGCCTAATAACACTATCTGAACTTAAAATTTTTTTTTCCATGTTAGAATTTATATTGCTGCTTGACGGCATTACATCCAAATTCATATTATAGAGATCCCGATTTCTAAATAAACATAAAACAAATAATTAATTGCATGTTTTATCAATAGAAACATCTCATTGAAATAAGTTTGTAGGCATATATATGGAACTACATACATTTATAAACATATACATATATATATATATATTTAAACATGCATATGGATGTATGCCTGAGTGTATTTGCAATTCGTATTTGTACGATATAATTTTGTGCTAACCAAAGGTACCGTTAATTCAATAAATTGGAATTTGCCCAGTTTTACTCGTATACTTCTATTTATTCTATAGCCAAAATATGTATATGCTAAAATTGCGAGATTTTCTAAATTCCACGAAGTACTTTTTTGAAGGTCTTTTTTAATTCTAAAATTTTTCTATTGGGATTAAAATATAAATTCACACTTCATTCAATTACTTTCACACTTCGGGGTCACAACTTTAAGAATTTGACAACGAATTATATTTATACAAAATCACATATAAAGAAAAAGCAAAGCAAATATATCGAGCTTATAACCACAGAAAGAGTGCACAAAACAGTGTCATTGTTCAGCACAGTTACCATATTCAAATATTGAAACTAGACTGGATTGCGTTCACATTATCAAGCATGTTTAGCGATGATGTAAGCGAAATTGATATGCTAGCAAGAACCTGAACACCAGAGAATACCGTATGGAAACTCATCCCACATGGATCAATATTAAGCGAAATATCTTTACAAAATTAATTCTTTTGTAATATTCTTGTCACACTTATTAAATAAATGTGATTACACCACACTTATACCGCTTTTACGCTCTTTCAGGGCAGCTGCATAACTTTTTTTCAACTGCTTACTGTACAAGTTTCATATAGGCAGGTGCTTCGTAAATACTCGTAAATAAGTAGAAGTACATATTACATATAATTTAATTATTAAGTTAAATGGGTTTAATTAATATTAACCTATAATTATGCTACATGTACGGAAAACATTTTGAATGGTTTTATATGTTGAAAACAATAAAAATCTAATTTAGCTTAAAATTGAAAAAAAAAAAATGTTTTGAATTTAAATTCTGCTTAATCTCATATTGATAATATTTTCCATGTAAATAGGTTATTGAAGTAAACATATCTGTAAATTAAGTATTTTATATAACGAAATGTAAGCTTATATGAATATAAGTAACAAATTTAAATGTATATATCTGAGCATGCTTGATTTTTGCCTACACAAATTTGATTCTTATTAATTAAGTTCGAAAACATCTGTCAAATTTTTAAACATATGTCTTTCAGAACATCCGAGTACAACTAAATCATCCATATATAAAAATGCTTGAGATGGTGTTAAACCAGAAAACGCAAGAGTCATCATACGTTGAAAAGTATTTGGAGCAATTTTCAATCCATACCGGAGTCGTTTGAAACTATAAGAGCCATTTTCTGCAGAGAAGGATGTAATATCCCTTGATGATTCGTGTAGCTCTATTTGATGGAATCCAGACATTAGGTCAAGACATGAAAAATATTTAGCTCTTCCCAATTGATCAAGAAAGTCTTCTATTCTTGGAAGAGGAAATTTGTCTGCAATCAATTTTTTATTTATTTGACGGTAGTCCACTACTAACCGCCATCTTTTCTCATTTGAACCGGGTAATGACTTTTTAGATACTAATAACAAAGGACTATTGTAATTTGACATTGATGGTTCTACTATGTCATCATCTACCAATTTCCTTGCTTGTTTTTCGACTTCTGTTTTATGGGTATGTGGTATTCTATAGATTTTTATGTAGCTTGGTGTTTTATCGCTTAACCTTAAACGCTGTTCGTAGAAATTATTTATAGAAATTTGTTCATTTTCTAAACCGAATATGTCACTGTAATTTGTACAGAGTGTTGTTAACTTGTCGCTAAATTTATTAGGAAAATTTTTGGATAATCTATTTATGATTTCTTTAGTTCTATGGTATGAAGTATCTTTTGGTTGTAATATATCATAATTTGATATTTTTTCAGTTTTTATATTGTTAGCCTTATTAGCCTTATGTTAGCCTTTATATTGAGTATCCTTATAAACGCATTATTACCTTGAACTCTAGTGTTTGCAATAAACACACCAGGTTGTAATTCTTGGTTTGGCACCAATAAGTCTTCTTGTTCTGCGCTGAGGTATACTCTCCTAATTACTTGAGATCTTGCTGGTAACATGATAAAATCATTGTCACAAGTGTTTTTAATTGGTATGGCTATATGCTGTGGAAAACATTTTGGTCGTAAAACGAGCCATTCCTTATTTTGCATGAAATCGAGTTTACAATTAAATTCTCTTAGAAAGTCCATGCCAATGATTCCATCGCATGGTATCGGAAAATCATCTTATACTGCATAAAATTTATGCGTTACGGGAATATTTTCAATTGTAAGATCTAACTGTGTAAGACCCAATGATTGGATCGAACCTTGGCCTATACCGCTGAGGGTTGTTACCTCAAATTTATTTACTTCATATTTATCTACATTTGCGATTTTTAGTAGAGACACGTCTGCTCCTGTATCTACTAATAAGGTTAGTAATTTATTAGTGGCATTATTAAAAAAATGAACAGACACGCCCAGGTTAAGGTTTAAACTATATATTGTGTTATGCTTTAATCTCTCAGAGGCTGATTCAGGTTTTCCGAACCAATATTGTTTTGCTTAGTACTATTATTAGTACTAGTTATTCTAACATTATGTTGGATCCTACGGTTATTTCCGCGTCCTCGTTGATTTCCATTTTGAACTGCAACTGACTCTCCTTTAATATTTGTCTTTAATGTATTTATTATTGCTAATATTGAGTTTTCAGTGGTTATTATTTGTCTAGCTGTGTCTTTTAATTTAGTTTTTGTTAAAGTGACTGCCAATCTTTCATGTTCTCCTTTTAATTCATCGACCATTTCGATGCCGTCAGGGAAACTTTGTAGATTGGATGCAGTTCCGTCATACTCAGGAATGATTGATACTCAGCTGATTGTGCCATATTTATAATGTTGTATTTTTCTATTTCTGATAAGTCTTCAATTTCGCTAGTTGCTTCCTCAATTGGTCTTAATATGTCGCTATCTTCTGTTACGAACAGTCTATGAACATCGAGCTGTATTGGTTCATCTAAGTTATGTGGAATTTTTTCCTCTATTTTATATTTAGAATAAATGTTTATTAACCTGTCTCTGGTTTCCCAAAATACAGAGTTAACAATTCTTTTATGGTTTTCTGTTAATCTATGGCTATAGTTTATATATATAGTTCTGATATTCTCTAAACTATTAACTAATTTCAGTAAGTGTTTTCTCAGAGTTTCTGATCTGATAAACGTGTTTTTATTTATACACTTGTATGCCTTGTTAAAATTTTCTTTTTCTATTTTAAGAAATTCTTCGACTTGAGACCATTTATCCATAAGACTTAAAGAATTTTACTGATTGATTTATTATTTCTTTTTTATGAAAAAATTTTCCGAACTATTTCATTCGCATAGTTAATTATTCTATTGTGTTTTTTCAAATGATTGTCCAATTTCTGTTTAGTTTTGCAGCTTTTGCTACATACAAAACAATTAAAAGTTTTAATTTTGACAAATCTAAAAAATATTTATTTATTTTGAAAAATGTTGATTAACGTGTTGCCTATCTAACTATTTATATTTTTTCTAATACAGTAGCGATATTTGCAGTTTTCACAAAATTCTTCTTAAGAGATCTACGATGAGCCTTATATAATTTAAGAGCTAAGTTTGCAGTGAGCAAAATAATTATTATTACGAAAAATTTTGTTGGATCGTAAGATTCTCTTCTATCAACTTCTATTTCGTTTACTACATTAGCTACAGGTTTATTTATTTTCGATTGAGGGCTCCCCATTATAAAATAAGAAACAACAAGGAAAAAAAAAATATCAACAGTAGAGAGACAAGAAAAAAAATCAAAGAAATACCGTAGTGATTAAACAATTAAAAAAAAATTTTTTTTTTTTTACATTCAAAACATACTTTATAATAGTTATAATTTTTAATGCAAAATATGTAATACATATATATATAATTTTTAAATTAAAAATTTATTTAAAAAAATTTTTTTTTATTTATGTATTAAAACAATTTTAAATAATCAAATTAAGATAATTATACATAAAATTTACATTAGCTGTGTTTCAGCAAACATGATCCGCTCAATGATCTGAATCATCTTTGCTGAAACGATACGGATCACGTTTGAAAATAATTGGCAACGCATGAAATATGACAGTTGGGTTTGTGTACAAAATTTTTTGATTTGTGTGAATAATTTTGGTGCTAAAAAAATAAGTGAGAAAATTTTGAATACAAAAAATCTAAAAAATGGAAAATAAATAAAATCTGTTGAAATGTCTGAAGTATTTACTTAAAAACTTAAATTTAATTCTATAGTTAATAAATGAAAATTGCATATGTTATTAGAATCATCGAGCGAAACTGACTCTTCCATTCCCTTTTTACTAGTTCAAGTGTATGGTATTAAGCTCAAGGGATGAAGTGTATCAGCATAGATATAGTGGAAGTTTTGTGGAAACGATCAATAATTTTTTCGTTAAAAATTATTTGATTGGTATTTGCGCATAAAAAATACAATTGCTATATATTAATTATGTTTCATATTTTAATAGATTTGTTAATAAAATTCAATCAGCAAATACAAAATAACCGTGGTGGTTACAATTGAACGAGAGCAATGAAGGAAATTTACATATTTTTGTGGTATATGGCAAATATAAATACTTTTCGCGAATTTGGTATTTGTTTTGGCATATCAAAAGCTTCTGTATGGAGAATAATTGAAAGAACTAGCGCTCTTTTCTTATGACAGCGACGTAACTCTACTACTTTTAATTACTTTTGCGCCACTGTCATACCTACTTTCCTACATTCGGCTATCCTGACGTCATTCGTCCCGGATGACCCCTTAAACGCTTTCATATGTTCTGCTACTGTTTCACATTTCTTTGACTGTTCGCCATTTCCGACTCTCTCAACTACATATCTACCTCGTCTTTTCTTTTCTACTATTCGATACGGTCCTAAATATTTCTGTTTTAATTTGAGTCCTGTTCCGTATTGGGTACGTTTGATGACAACTAAACCGTCTATTTCATAATTAACTTCTTCTTTCCTACCCTTGTTATATGTATTCCTGTTTTCTTCAGCTATTTTCTGTAAATTTTCTTTTGCTTGTTCACGCATTTCATTTCTTCCCTCAAATAACTCTTCCATTACACATTCTGTGATTAACGACCCTAATGCAACATTAGTTTTTATACGCATCTCCACCCCTGTCAAAATTTTAAATGGAGAATACTGAGTACTCCGAGCTGGAGTGCTATTGATAGCTTGTTGTACCCTTTCTACGTGTTTGTACCAACTTTCTGGCGAGTTCACACATAATTTACTGAGCATTGTAATAACTGTTCTATGTATTCTTTCTACCTGGCCGTTTCCCCGCGGAACGCCTGTGGCTATTAATAGGTGTTTGATCCCTTCGTTCGTACAATACTC